CCGTCACTGGCATCTGGGTGCTGCCCCTCCCCTCGCTCTGCACCGGTGTCGCTGTGCCTCCAATCGGTGTTGGTGGCAAGGCTGCGCTGCTGGAATACTTGACGGTGGTGGTAGTACTCCACCCTCTGCATGACTTGACGCGCCCATAGCACTGCTTTGCTGCTGCTGTAGATGCGTCATGATTGTATCCATGCGCGTGTCGGTGTACGTCTGACGCTGTCACAACATTTTTACCACCTCCGATAGTTGTTTGATCTCGGTGTCGGGTTGATACTGGGGCTGAGGCGGCATCGTTGGGAACTGCTGCTGCTGCTGTGGCTGCATCATCTGAGGAACGAAGGACCCTGGTAGGTGCATACCCATCGACGGCTGGCACGTCGTCGGAGGCGGTGGCGGTGGTACTGGTGCTGGTCTGGCTCCCATATGTACATTGTCCCCCGTCATGGCCTCTAACTCCTCGAGCTCGTCGATAGCAGCCTTCCACTCAGCGAGATCCTTCTCCGCATCCCGATACTGTAGCTGCATCTCCTTAATATTGGACATGAGTGCCTTCAGGTACGTCTGGCACTTGTCCCTCTTGATCTTCGAATCCGCGAGCAGATCAACCAATCTCTCCGTTGTACTCATCATATACTTCAAACAGGCGGCCTCCTTGATGTAGTGATTTGCGTCCTCTTTGCCCGCCTTAATGGCTACGATGATCAGGCGGGCAATCTCGAACATACGCTGCTTCGTCTTGGCCTTGTAGGTCTTGCTCCCAGGGATATCCGATGGCACCTGTTCGTATCCAAGCATCTGCATGTAAGTGACCGCACCCGAACGCTTCATTGTGACAACTCTGCCAAGGAAGCGCTTGATCTCTTCTTGCTCTGGACGCAACTCCTTCCGATCCTGGTCGCGCTGAAAGTCCTTCTGGACCTCCCTCCTTGTACGGCTGGGCTCACGTCGGGGTTGTTGTTGTCGCTGTGGCGTTTTTCCACGCACACGCTGCTCATAGTGTCGACCACACAGACATGCTCAGTGGTGCCCCCGTACGTACCGTCCACACGCACAACCCCATATGTATCCAGGTCCTGATGGCATCTTCACAATATGGGGCGAGCTGTGGTGGCTCCTCAAAAGGGGCTGGGCTTTGTAAAGCGAGTGCGCTGTGACGGCGCTCGTTTGCGCGCCTATGCCAGCGCGGTTCACGCGCCGTGACAAGGGAAGTGCAGTGAGAGAGGAAGAGTGAGATACAATATCCTCTTCGCGGACGTGCACAGGCACGCCTAAGGCTCGGCCTGCACCTGGGCCGCACGCCTTCTCCTCCTCCTCCTCTTCCTCCTCCTCCTCCTCCTCCTCCTCCTCCTCCTCCCTCCTCCTCCTCCTCGTCCTCTCTCATCCTCCTCCTCTCTCCTCCTCCTCCTCCTCCTCCTCCTCCTCCTCCTCCTCCTCCTCCGCCTCCGCCTCCGCCTCCTCCTCCTCCTCCTCCTCCTCCTCCTCCTCCCTCCTCCTCTCTCCTCCCTCTCCCCTCCTTCCCCTCCTCTCCCTCCTCTCTCCTGCTCCTCTCCCCTCTCTCTTCCTCTCTCCTCCTCCTCCTCTCCTCCTCCTCCTCCTCTCCTCCTCCTCCTCCTCCTCCTGCCCTCCTCCTCCTCCTCCTCCTCCTCCTCCTCCTCCTCCTCCTCTCCTCCTCCTCCTCCTCCTCCTCCTCCTCCTCTCCTCTCCTCCTCCTCCTCACTCCTCTCCTCCTCCTCTTCTCCTCCTCCCTCCTCCTCCTCTCTATCCTCCTCTCTCCTTCTCTATCCTCCTCATCTCCTCCTCTCTCTCTCTCCTCTATCCTCCTCTCTCCTCCTCTCTCCTCCTCTCTCCTCCCTCCCTCCTCTCCCTCCTCTCTCCTCCTCTCTCCTCCTCTCCTGCCCTCTCCTCCTCCTCCTCCCTCTCTCCTCCTCCTCCTCCTCTGCACTCCTCCTCCTCCTCCCTCCTCCTCTCATCCTCCTCTCTCCTCCTCCTCCTCCTCCTCTCCCTCTCTCCTCCTCTCTCCTCTCTCTCCTCATCTCATCCTCTCATCCTCCTCTCTCCTCCTCTTTTCTCATTTCTCCTCCTCGCTCCTCCTCCTCTCTCTTCTCTCTCCTCTCTCCTCCTCTCTCTCGCTCCTCTCCCTCCTCCTCGCTCTCGCTCCTCCTCCTCCTCCTCCTCCTCCTCCTCCCCCCTCCTCCTCCTCCTCCTCCTCCTCCTCCTCATCCTCCTCCTCCTCCTCCTCCTCCTCCTCCTCCTCCTCCTTCCTTCCTTCCTTCCTTCCTTCCTTCCTTCCTTCCTTCCTTCCTTCCTTCCCTTCCTTCCTTCCTTCCTCCTCTCCTCCTCCCTTCTCCTCCTCCCTTCTCCTCCTCCCTTCTCCTCCTTCCTCCTCTTCTTCCTCCTCCTCCTCCTCCTCCTCCTCCTCCGCGGTCTGGAGGTTTACGAAGACGGTGTGTCGGGGCTGTGGTGCAGGGGGCGCTACCCTCGGGCTTGACTGTGATGATCATGACCCTCCACCAGGAGAAGCAGCTAGACAGGGTCCGTTGGCGTTGCTAGGAAGCTCCTCGGAGGTGATGCGTGTGCCAAGGTCCCTGGCCTGGATCCCGAGGGCCAGCCAGTTCAGGACGAAGATGGAGAACCTCGTCTGAGGTATCGTTCGAGTGCGGATGAGGTCGTTCTCAGGCGTGTGGGTGTGGCGGGATGTGAAGTGGAGCTATGTGTTCGTCGTTTTAGTCTTGCCACAGGTGGATAAGAATGCTAGCACGATATCCATCCACAGGAACCTGGAGCCGTGTTCGGCCAACTTCCCGTCGAGCCGACCCCGACGATTCTAACCACTGGCACTCTATCGATAAAGGCGAACACTTATGCGATGCGATTCGCGACCGACGTCAGCAGGTTATTGTAGAGAGCAGAGGAAATGGTTTTCTCGAGTTGTACGTGTTAGATTCCTCCCATCCCCTCTATCTTCGACTCAATGTGCGTGTTCTTTTTCTCGACTCTGACGCTCGTGATCGGATTCTCAGAGTTGACCCGTGAGTTCTCTGGGCTGCGGCCAAAACGGTGGCGATACCCCTCTTGCGGGCCTGTGCGACACTGAGCCCAGAGAGACGGCCCCAGGATCCGCAGCGGTCCCTCCTCCCCCGACGGCGACGTGGCGATACGAGCTGAGGGGTTCGACCGGCCAAGTTTGCGATCGAGAGTTCAAGTCGAGACGGGCCCACTGTCTAATCAGCAGTTCTCGGCGGCGGGTTGGCATTCGATAAGTCTATCATACAAACGGCTGTCGTCACCACTCAGTGCATTTTCTGCCGTCACTCGTTTCGGACGAGGAGGATTGCCCAGGAGCACCCGTTGCAGGCGGCTTTGAGGAGTCGTTGTCCCATCATGTCCACGCCGTATCATCCCCAGTCACGGTTCCTGAGGATCTAAAGTGTCCGTTGGCATCGATAACAGTGGCCTCTCTTTTCGGCGGTCATAACTCAGGCTCTTGTTGTTCAGTAAGCGAGCCTTTCGCCGACCTTGCCGCTCTGAGCAACCACCTGCTCACCCACACTGGCTGCCCTCTTCATGGGCGCGCACTGGTTCGAGAGCGGGCCGATGTTCAAGCTGAGCACGGAGCAGGTCGAGGCCGAGAGGTCGCCCTCAGCGCAGCGCGGCGGCGGCGGGAGGTCCTTAGGGCGCGGCCGCAGTGGATCGAAGGCTGCTTCCCGCCCTCGTGGACAGCAGCGTCGTCGGGGCAGCGTAGTTCGTGGACCCAGGCGGCGGCGGGAGCCGCTGAAAACGCCGCTCGGCCCCAGCAGCCCCTCGACTCCGTCGGTTGCGCCGCCGTTGACTCAAGCTCGCCCCCCTTTTGACAGCGATGTTAGGGATAATTTTAGCCCTGCACCTGCTGGGAGTGCTGTGGATCGGGTTTCTCGTCCTGGTGCCGGGAGTGCTGTGGATCGGGTTCCAGATAACGTCACTGGGAGTGCTGCTGGTCGGACACCACGTCTTGTCGCTGGGAGTGCTGTGGATCAGGTTCCATGTCCTGGCGCTGGGAGTGCTGTGGATCGGGTTCCAGATGATGAACGTCGCTGGGAGTGCTGTGGATCGGGCCCCACGTCGTGCCGCTGGGAGTGCTGTGGATCGGGTGCTACCCCGGCAGCTTTCGGCTCCCGACCGCACGGGGCAGCCGCGGCATGAGCTTCTACCCCAGCAGATGTCGGTTCCACGTCCTGGCGCGTCGCATGCTGTGTATCTGGCTCCTTCCGACGGCGCTTGGAGTGCTGTCGATCGTGGCCCTCGTCAGGCTCTAAGTGTGGTCTTTAGCTGCGAGTTCGCGAAGACACCCAGTTGCGCCACTGCTAGCCTTCCTCCCCCTCCTCTCGGCGGCCCTCCTCCGAGCCTCCCCTCAATTTTTAACAACTCGTGAGTTTGGCCGCCTTAAAAGAAGGACCCTTGGGGGCTTCAACTTGTGTCCGTGCTTCAAGATTTTCAAACCATTGTCTTCCATCGGGGCACTTGACTCAGTAAACAGAAATCTTTGCTGGGACCTTTGAAGAGGGAATTTGGAGGGATGGATTACTGAAACATCGTTGACGCATCCTGGGTTTACACTGGTCTGCCTCCTCCTCCTCATCATCACCACCACCACAACCATCATCATCACCACCACCATCATCACCGTCATCATCCTCATCATCATCATCGTCGTCGTCATCATCGTCATCATCGTCATCATCATCGTCATCGTCATCGTCATCGCCATCCTCCTCCTCATCATCAACATCAACATCAACATCAACGTCAGCAGCATCATCATCATCATCATCATCAGCAGCAGCATCATCATCATCAGCATCATCATCATCATCTTCATCCTCATCCTCATCCTCACCATCACAAGCTTTCTCGTCCTCGTTCTCCTCCTCCTCCGTCTCCCCTACCCCACCCGCTTCTCCCTCCCGTCCCTCCCCTCCTTGCTCGCGAGCGCCCCCGCGATGTCGCCCCTGGAAAGAGAGCGCCTTCGACTTCGGGGCCGGCGCCTGCACCTCCTGCTGCTTCGCCTCCAGGAGCGGCGGGAGGAGAAGGAGAAGGAAGAACACGAGGATGAGGAAACATCAAATGAGTACGAACCGAGTGTGCAACACGTAGAATAAGGATGCTCAGAATAATACACCACGGAAGAACGCATAAAAGAAAGGAGGGAGGGAGGAGGATGAGGAGAGAGAAGCCGAGGAAAACAAGGTGGATGAGCAGGAGGGGAGGAGGAGGAGGAGGAGGAGGAGGAGGAGGAGGAGGAGGGAGGAATACGAGGCGGTCGAGGGGGAAGAGCATGAGTAGGAGGAGGAGCAGCAGGACGGGTACCACTTTTTATCACTTGTAAATGCGGCCCATACGTTTCACCCCAAGATTTGCACCCCTTTCACTGCAACCCGTAAGTTGCACTCCGCACGTAAGTTTGCAACCCTTCAGTTGTACTCCATGTGTTGCACCCCATGTCTTGCATTCGATACGTCGCACAACGTACGTCGTCCTCCATAGTTTGCACCCCGAGAGTTAAACAGACAAGGAGGGAGGGGGAGGAGGAGGATGAGGAGGAGGAGGAGAAGGAGGAATATGATGATGATGAGGCTCTGATGAGGAGGAGGAATATGGGGAGGAGGAGGCGGAGGAGGAGGAGGAGGAAGAGGAGGGGAGGAGGATGAGGCAGGCGCGTGCTAGAATTTGGCGCGTGCGTGGCTAGTGGCGCGTGGGCCTGTAAGAAATGTCGGAGTCACACAGCCTCTCGGAGCTCTAAGGGAAGTGCTAGTGATAAGGAAATAATGATGATGAGGAGGAGAAGGAGGATTACATCAGACACCACCAGGAGGAGGAGGAGGATGAGGAGGAGGAGGAGCAGCACCAGCAATATTACGCAGATCTGGAGGATTAGGAATTCGGATGTGGACGGAGGAGGAGGAGGAGGAGGAGGAGGAGGAGGAGGAGGAGGACAAGACGGAGGATCAGATCAGACTACAGAAGGCTGGAATGCGCAGAGGACCCGCCCCTTCCCACTCCGACCTCGAGCCAGCACCAGACCTTCCGGGTCAGAGCTTGCCATGCACGGGCATCGCCCAGCAGCGCTCCCAGAAAAGCCGTTCAGCACCCCCCGAGCTCTCCTGAAAGCGCCCGGACGCGTCGGAACATTGCCGAAAGCGTCTGGACGCCTCCAGAAGCCTTCGAAACCTTCAGAAGCCCCCACAAGCCCCCTAAAGCAGTCGAAGAGGTCTGAAACCCTCCGACCCTCCTGAAAACCTCCGAGAAGAACAAGCATAGGCGCACGTAGGCTAAATGGTGAGACGGCTACCTTTGGGTTCATTTTGGGCCCTGCTGGCCGCACAAGTGTGGAACGTCAAAGCGACGATAAAGACGACGGCGACGACGACGGCGACGACAGCGATGAGCGTCTTCTCTCCACAGCCACAGACACACCCAGCCATCTCGGGGATGGACAGACCCCCCTTTAGTAAAACGTGGTTTAGTGAAAACGACCTGAGGCCCAAACCTGGCGGGCGCAACCCTGGAAAATAACGGCCGCGGCGCCCTCTCGAGAACCGAAAACGGACAATTCACTAATCGACGTGTCACTGTTGGGGGTTCTGTCCACACCCAGCCATCCAAGTACAAGTCGTGCCTACGAGGGCAACGCGTGGGGATCCGAAGCCCTCAGGAGACGTGTTGCGAGCATGGAGTCGGAGCCGGAGTCGGAGAGACGATCGCAGGCGTCGGAGCAGTACGGGTAGGCGCAGGAGCCCGAGTCGGAGAGAAGTACGGTAGGCGATAAGAAAAACTGGAGTCGCAGGGGCAGGAGCCCGAGTCGGAGAGACGATCGCAGGAAGCGGAGGAGGAGGAGGAGGAGGAGGTGGAGGAGGAGGACTTCGCGACGAGGCGGGATGGAAGCGAGAGGAGGAGACGAGGCGAATCCATGAGAAGACCTCCGGGAGCAGCCCGAGAGCCTCCTCCTCGTCCTCCCTCCCTCTTCCCTCCCTCCTCCCTCCTCCCTCCCTCCCTCCCTCTCCCTCCTCCGTCTTCTTCCTCCTCCTCCTGCTCCTCCTGCTCCTCCTGCTCCTCCTCCTCCTCCTCCTTCTCCTCCTCCTCGTTATCCTCGTCGTCGTCCTCCTCTTCCTCAATCCCTTTTCTTTCTTTCTGAGTGTTAGCAAGCGTGGACTCCAAACATGTCTTACCCGCCAAGATTGAGCAATCTATGTTGCAAAATCAATGTGGTGCAATCGATGTTGTGCACTCTACGTGGCGCAAGTCATATGCCGTACAAATGTTTGATCGCAATGCGTTGTCAACTCCACTGCTCGCGCAATCATCCCACCCACCCGCCCACCCACCCACCCGCATTTCGGTTAGCAAAAAGAAAACGGCGGCGTTTGCGTTGACTGTCTGGCGCTGGCTGGCGCATGGCTGCAGACGCGGCCGCGCTAGCGAGCGCACGCTCGCGCGCTGAGCGGCAAGCGAGTCTGGCGCGACCGGCGCGGCCGCGGTGGCGCTGACCGCTGGGGACTTCCCAGCGCGTCTCGCTGGCCGCGTTGGCGCGCGGGAACTGCAGTGCGAGTCGGTGGTTCGGGCGGGCGCGGTATCATGGCGACATCGAAACTGGCAGACACGATGATGATACTAGCGATGCTGGTGACGGCGACGGTGATGACGGCGGCAAGGACAATGATAAGGCCGATGCTGATGACGCCGATGACGATGCTGGTGTCCACGTGTTGGTGATGAAGGTTGTGGAAGGATTCCGACATGCGCGCGCGTTCGACCGGCACGGGTGGCCCCCTTGGTATGATTTGATCAGGATCGTGCCCCCCGCACCCAGCACGCGCGCAAGGGTGTTAGAGCGATTTCGACATGCGCGCGCGATTGGCCCGCTTGGTCGCATTTGATAAAAACTTTGCAAACCGAAGGCTTTCGTGAGAAATTGAAAAGGGCGCGCGCAAACTTTTCTTTGAACGATCAGGTTGCAACACTATGTGCTTGTTTTGGATTTGTTTCCAGGCATTCGATTTTGAAATCCGTGTGAACCCAAAAATTGACGAAGGATTCCAGCATGCGCACGCGACGACGCGCGCGTGTGTACTTCGTCACGCTGATAATCAGCGACTGATGATATTTGATGAACAGGGGTGCGCAAATAGTTTCATTTTTCAATGATGGTGGGGTGGGGGGGGGGGGGCGGCCTGGCTTCCTGGGATGTTACGACTCCATATTTACTTTAAAAGATGGGGCAGAATCGTTCATGAAGTGCACATCCCCACTGGGTATCAATAAGCTAGGGGGAGGGGGGAGATCTTAATCCTTGGGAGATCTTAATCCTTTGTTCGAACAGAGAACACATGTTGTGCAATCTGGGTGGAGCAGTCAGTCTACGTAGTGCAAGCTCTGTGACGCAGTTGAAGTTGCGCAATCGATGTTGTGCAATCTACGTGGTGCATGACGTGCGGTGCAGCCAACGAGCGCGACCTGCGTCGATCCATCTATGTTGTGGTGCAATCTTTGTGGTGCAATCTAGGTGGTGCATTTAATTTCTGTTCGCAGTGAGTTGTCCACTCCACTGCTCGCGCAAGCATCCCACCCACCCACCCGCAACTTGGTTTGCACAAGCTCTTAAGACCGTGACGGTGGGTACCACATGGCACTTGGCAACAATAGCGACGCCGACGACGACAGCGACAACAACGACGACGACGACGCCACCGACAACGACTACGACGACACCGACGACGTCTCCAACGACCTCCACGACGCCGACAACGACGACGACGACGACGACACCGACGACGACGACGACGACACCGACGCCGACGACGACGACGATGACAACGACGACGACGATGACGACGCCGACGACGACGATAACGACGACACCGACGACGACGACGACGTCAACGACGCCGACGACGACGACGACGACGACGACGGAGGGACGACGACGAGACGCCGACGACGGACGACGACGACGACGAACGAATGACGACAACGACGCTGACTTCCGACGACGACGACGAAGACGACGACGAGTCGCCAACGAAGGACAACGGGAGGAGGGAGGCCGTACGACTGCGACACGACGGACACGACGAAGAGGGGACGACGCGCCGCCGAACGACGGCAGCGAACAGGGAGGAGGGAAGACGACGACGACGACACAACGACGACGAACGCGACGAAAATAGGAGGGCACTACGAGACGCCGACGACGGACGTCGACGACGACGACGAGGGAGGAGGAGGAAGGACGACCACGGCGACAACGACGACGGAAACGACCACGACGCCAAAGAGGACGACGACGACGAACACGAGGAAAGACAGAGGACGACGTAGGCGACGACGACGACGACGCGGGAGGAGGGAGGACGGCGACGACGACGACGACGACGACGACGCGAGAGCGCGCGCGCACGCTTTTGGACGCACGATTTTGAAATCCTTCCGAAACCGATGGGTTTGTTTTGAAAAGGTTTTCCGGCATACGCCCGCGACGACGCTGCGCGTACTGCACTTCGTACGTGTTTTGGCAGAAGGAAATTTCATCCGATTCTCGCGACGGCACACGCGCAAGGGCGTTCGACAGATTTCGACATGCGCGCGCGCGAAGCCCGTTTGGTAGCATGTTGTGAAAATCTTGAAAAACCTATGGTTTCTTAAGATTTCGCAAGAGCTCGCGCGGAAGCTTTTTTAGCAAATCAGTGTTGCGAAACTGTGTGTTGTTGTATGTTTTTCGGAGACTCGATTGCGAAATCCTTCCGGCACCAGAAGTTGTTGCAGGATTTCGGCGTGCGCGCGCGACGACGCGCGCGCGTGCACCTCGTCCCATGTTTTGCAAGGGATTCGTAAAAAAGGGCCATGTAAGAACAAGAAATGTCACCGCATAATGCTTTTCACAAAAGAACCTCAGGGGGGGGAACCCGGCCTAGCTGGGATGATATGATTTCATATTTAGGATGGGCGAAAATATGAGATAAAAAACAAAAAACGCATAAAAAAAAAGGAACAAAAAAAAAAAAAAAAAAAA